TTCCATTGCTTCAAGCTTTGACAGAATATGCAATATGTAAAGAAAATTTTCATAAAACTTTTGACTTAAATATATAATGCTATAATTGATATATTCAGTACAATTGTTCATTGAACGCTTAGTGAACTCTTACACCTTGGTCTATATTTTTATAATCATTTTTATAATTATTTCATATAATTATTTTTTTGAAAAAGTATTGTAGAATAAGAGAAAATTTTACGTTATTTAGTATTCTTGTTTTGCTCAGAATGTTTATGTAAAAGTTATGTAATGTTTATAATAATAATAATAATATTAGAGAATTAAATATTATGTTTGTAATAGTTATATTACCCATACTGTCTTTAAAAAATAAAGTAAAACATTTTTCTTTTTCAAAATGAGGTACGAGGAGACATCAAAACTATAAAAAGTATCCAAATGGAATTCATTAACGTTAAAAATTGTCGAAAATGTCACAACAAAATTGGTGCTGCGATGTTTTTTTGCAGTGCAACTGAATTCCATTTGGAACTAAAAAAATTCTATTTTTTTGGTTCTCTTTCCGGTTAGTTCATGGCACATCTGAGGAACATCCCTGGGTTGATAGAAACCCTCCTTCCGAAAAAAATTCCATACGCCCATGTTCAATACTCACTTGCACATTAAGATTACATCGAAATTGGAATATCAAAAATACTAGAACACTCACCATTTTGATGCTAATTCGATGTTTTTTCGTGTTATTCGCAGAGACATTTTTTTTTATATTAAATTTGCAGTAATAAATCTTTTATTTTTATGCCAAGGAACGTAAAATTCGAGGAACTTCAGGGATATAGAGAATAGAGAACGAGAAACAAGTCTCTGCACAAAATACGAAATTATCTAGTTCAGAAATATAATATCAAGCATGGAGTATAGAGAATAAGAGATCGGACACACTTAAAAAGTGTCAAAATCAGATTTCTGAATTGGTATTGGTGATGCTTGGTAGGCAGTGTTCACAAAGCTCCTCTCATATACGTTTAAGGGCTGCACACAAAATTCTGTGAGATGTAAACTTAAGCCGATGAGCTAATCAGGATATTGTTTTAAATTACGTAATTCAATGAAAATGGAAATAACAATGAACTTATCCATAATACCTCACAATAAGGTGAATTTCAACCGATTGAAACTTGTTTTATGGATAAGTTTATTGCAATTTTTATTCCATTAGAGTAGATCTAAAACAGTATCCTGAGCTCAACGACTTAAGTTCATGTTTTATGTGTCTACAATAGAAGTCGTAGTGGTTGTAGGGTCTCAAGTCGTAGAAAATTGACAAATCACAGTCGAATATAAGAAGAATAATCTGTGATTGGTTAATTTTTCACGACTTAAGATCCTACGATCGCTACGACTTCTATTGTAGACTTCTCATTAAACTTTGTTTACAATAGTCGCATAAGTTGTGTTGCATGTAGTAGCGCGAGTAGTAGCATCGCAGGAAAATTTATCGCATGTCGCAAGAGTCGCTAAATGAGCGTCTACAATAGTGACAATGATTGTTTGCACGCAATTCGACAACAAATTCTAAATGTCAACTTGCTGTGATTAGTTGAGCTCATGCGACATGCCTGTCGCAATCACAGAAAGTTGAAGTTGACTCAACTCCGTACGACAAAAGCTCTTACGACTACGATAATCATGGGATTATATGCGACACTTCTGCAACATTTCGTACAACATTTGATACAGCTTGTGCGACTATTACATTCATATGTAACGATTTATTTTTAGATATAAGACTATTATCAGTTTTTAGTAAAGCGAAAGAAATTTTCAATTAATAAAGTATTTTTTATTTATTTCATAAAAATAAATAATTCATTTATAATCTAATTTTAGAAGACAGTTTACAGCTTTGTATCGTTCGGAATTAATTCTTGATATTCATATTGCTCGAAGATCACGTGATCAAGCTCGTCATTTGCTCGCTAATCTCAGATTTACTTGACGAATGTGATCAGCTTGCAACTAATGTATGTAGAACCGGTATGTAGAACCGGTTTAAGGTTATTGTTACAGAAATTTTCTATGTAGAGGATTCTAATACAGTAGGGTCGCAAATCGTAAGCCGTAAGAAATTGGCCAATCACAGTTAAGTGTGAGAAGAATAATCGACTACGATTGATTAATTTCTTGTGACTTACTGCTTACAACTCTTTATAGAACAGGCCTCATAGTCGTAACCGAGTCGCGAATCGTAAATCGTAGTCGTATGTCAACATACAATGTTTTGACGTATTTGTGTGCCGTATCGATTACATTATGTGTCGATCTTTTGTGATGGCAACATGTCTACATCAGCGATCATCTTTGGTAAAATTATATATGTCGTTAATGGTTAATGACATAATTACATCATATAACTTTTCAAATATTTTAATATTTTAGATATAAATTGTCAATGTATGTGTAATGAAATAATGTCACAAATTTCGATCACAAATTTTCCATAGGAAAAATACGGCACGCTTCTATCCTAAGAATTTAGTACAAAGACGAACCACTATTTTTGTCGATTCTATTTTATCGATAGTCAGAAAATGTATATAGTCACATAATCCTCAAACTGAAAATGAATGTACAGGTGATTTCGATGGTAACAAGAAAAAGGGCAGCATAGCTCTCTGGTATGATCATGGAGTATAGAGAATATAAGGTCGAACTTGGATGTGGCTCTTAAAAAGTATGTCAAAAATGATCATATGAATTAATTCAATCAAAATGCTTTGGTTCCACGACACCGTTTTCATGTAAGTCATATCAATTTTACATGAAAAATGCTCCATTCTTCATGAAGTTTTAATGACAATTTACATCTTCCTGTTACTGTCAAAGCATGATGTCAAAGAATAATGTCTCTATTTTTAGATTATGTTCGAATGTATATGCATAAGCGTATATGAGAGGAGTTTTGCGATTCGAACGTCGCTTACTGAACATCACGAATCCCTATTCAGAAACTTGATTTTGAACACACTTAAAAGCTGCGTTCGGTAATGCAAATCTGAGGTGTTGGAGTGCTCTTATATTATAGCATATGTCACGTGCACTGTAGAAAAAGAGCACTCTGATGCTTCAGATTTGCAATGCCGAACGCAGCTAAAAGCTTAGTTTGGCCTCCTATTCTCTATACTCCATAGGTATGATCTACTATGCAAACTGCGAGTGTGTTAGACAGGCCCGGTTTCAGAGGCATGCGCGTTCAATGTAGCTTCAGTAATATCGATCACTAGTAAATAAGATCACTAGTAAATAAGAGATCATTAGTCGCCTATGTAAAATTTTTTTACATTTTTTTTTATAGAAATATAATATATATATTTATATATATGTATACATATGTAAAATATGTAAAATATATTAAA